TTATTTGTAACCAAATAACTAAATAAGCAGTTCTTTAATTTATTTTTTATGGAGGTCATATATATAATAATAATGTACACAGATAATTTTTTAAATTTTTTTACAAGTAAAACTTCAATTGAATTATTAAAATTTATCTCTTTTAAAAGATAAAATCTATAATTGCAATTTTAACTATTAAACTAATATCTAAATCGTGCGAGTAAGGGTATATAAACTAATATTTTGTATATTTTAATTCATTTATTTATAAATTATGAAATACTTACCGCATCTGTGTCTCATAAAGTCTGAGCGGGAAACATGGTCGGAAGTCCGAATAGTCGGCAAAAAAGTCCAAATTTAGAAACATGTTCCATTCAAATGCACGTTGAACTTTTTTGAAGTTTTGATTAATAAATATAGATGCATGTGAAGACTTCCATGTTTATGTCAAAGACTGATGTGGCCAAGTTGGGGTTGTCTAAAAAAAGGTAGATTAATATATGGTTAAAAAACAGCTTAATCGAAAACTTAATAAGATAATTAATAAATTCGGTAAAGTGCTACTTATTATGTTATCAGACTCATAATGTTGTAGGTAGAAAATATGAAAAATTATTAAAAAATTTGGTAACCGGTAAACTTTAGTTATCGGTAGGTATCGATACATATATGATGTCCATACTTATTTCAATGTGAAAAAATTAATTTAAGGTTATCTTTTGAGTGAGTTTTAAAATATTAATTTAGTAATTATATGCGTCTAATGATTCATTTTTATGTTACATATATATTATTATTAAATTAAAAATAATAAACATATATATTACATATTTATTATTATCTTTGGTTAAAATTGTTAAATTTAAATTTTAAATAATATTTTATAAAATATGTAAACAATCAAATAATTTTTTTGTAAATAAAATTATTAATTTAATATTGTAGGTGGAAAACATAAGTACTATTAAAAAATTTTGAAAATAAATTACATAACTTTCAACAAAGTGTCGATACATGTACAATAAGTATCGATACTTTCAACATATCCGGTAGCTCTTTACCGGTTTTGTCATAATGAAACTAATTTTGTCATATTTTTACTTGTTATATTGTTATGTATCGATACATTTTTATAAAGTGTCGATACATTTCAAAAATCCGGTAGGTATTTTAATGTAATATGTAGCGCCTATTTTTTTTACCGTTTACATTATTAACAACCTTAAAAAAACCGATAGGTATTTTAATATAATAGGTAGTGCTTATTTTATTTTATCGTTTACATTATTAACAATCTTTAAACAAACCGGTAGGTATTTTAATGTAATAGGTAGCGCTTATTTTTTTTTACCGTTTACATTATTAGCAACCTTCAAAAAAATCGATAGGTATTTTAATGTAATAGGTAGTGCCTATTTTTTTTACCGTTTACATTATTAGCAACTTTCAAAAAAATCGATAGGTATTTTAATGTAATAGGTAGCGTCTATTTTTTTATCGTTACATTATTAACAACCTTCAAAAAACCAGTAGATATTTCAATGTAATAGGTAACGGCTATTTTTTTACCGTTTACATTATTAGCAACTTTCAAAAAAACCAGTAGGTATTTTAATGTAATAGGTAGTGCCTATTTTTTTACCGTTTATTATTAGTAATCTTTAAACAAACGGTAGTATTTTAATATAATAGGTAGCACCTATTTTTTTTACCGTTTACATTATTAGTAACATTAAAAAAACCGATAGGTTGTGTAATGTAATATGTAGCGTTTATTTTTTTTACCGTTTACATTATTAGCCGTTTTAACCGGTCACTTATTTAACCGATCACGCCTTTTTTTAGCTGTTTTTTAACCGCCTCACAGCATAACCTCCCGGGCAAGTTCCCTACTGAAACCTAGAGATGGTTCCTCAACTGAAGAAATTGCCCTGCTTTTCTCTGTAATTTTCTTAACTTGTGTTTTTTGTTCTTTAATTTTTAATTTTTTGAAAATCTAAAATCTTGGAAATCACAGATTACTTTTTTTTGTTCAAATAAAGATGTCAAAAACCAACATTCTTAAGTTTTAAAGATTAATATGTGTTATGATGCTTAAGTTTGCTCGAATTAGTTGGGTTGTTCATATTTTTAAGTTGAATTCTGTTGGTCTGCTACAACCGAATGTTCAAGGGCCGATTGCAGTAGATTTCTTTTAAATTTTACTTGAAAAATGCGATTGTTTAGATAGATTTATATTAAGAGAGTTCATGGGTGACAAGATAACAATATATTTTGGGTTATTTAGCTAGGCTAGAATCAGGGGACTATAATTTAGAATTATGAACTTCTATAATTTGCTAAATTCTTATTCTTATTTGACAACAGCTAAAAAATTCAGATTTTGTGTGTTGTGTTTTATTACTATCTATGTGCCTTTCTCTCTATTGGGCTTTCTTTTAAGCTTTGTATTAGGGAGATCAATTTTTTTAATTCATTCGTTTTAAGTGAAAATCCAAATTCAGCTACTTTTTCCCCATTTTCATTCTCATGTAATGTGAATAATGTTTAGTTGAAGCTTGGTTTAGTGAAAATCCAAATACTTTACTGAACTTGTTAAATAGAAACCATTTCCCCATTGTCAAGTTGGAATAATGTTTCTCTGTGGCATCGGAAGAGAAATCTGACTGCAATGATTGTACATTTTCATGTTTCTTGATAACTAAAACTATAAATCGTCACCTTTTTGCCATTTTTTGCCTGAATTCTGTGTATATACAAAGTTCAAATGAGATAAAAGAAAGAAGCAGATGCTGTGTTACAAATACTAGATAGAGATCAACAAAGTCAAGCTGCAAATCTTCCAGAGTTAATATCGATTGATTTAGAAAACAAGTTCCTAGGAATCAACACAAGAGAGATACGAATAACGTGGAACTAGAAAAGACTTCAATATTCAGTAGTGGGAAGTTGTCATGTGTGTCTGGGGCGATGAAGAAGACCTCATACACAATAGCTGCAACGGCAGCGCCAATTAATGGACCGAGCCAGTAGACCCAGTGGTTGTCCCATGTCCAGCTGACCACAGCTGGTCCGAAGGAGACCGCAGGGTTCATGTATGCACCATCGAAAGCACCACCAGCCAAGATGTTGTCACCCACGATGAAACCAATTGCAATGGGTGCAATGATCCCGATATCACCCTTCTTTGGGTCAACAGCTGTGGCGTAAACAGTGTAAACCAACCCAAATGTCATCACGATCTCGAAAACCACAGCGTTCCATGCTCCAACCCCAGATGACAACCCAAATGCTGATGTTGTCTGCAACGTAACATAAGCAGCTCTGGTTAAACATTGGATTGAAATTCATTTTTCTATCTCAGTTTTTGCTTTGAATATCGTACCAATCCACCAGTTGAAAACTTGAGAAGCAAGCAAGCAACCATGGATCCGAGCAATTGAGCAATCCAGTACAAAATACCCCTAAACAAGGTAATGTGGCCGCCAACAAAGGCCCTAATGTGACGGTAGGGTTTACATGCCACCAGAGATGTTAGCACCGATGGAAACCGCACGAACAATGCCAAGGCGTGAGCCAGTGATGCAGCTACTAATCCCGCCGGTGATGATGAGCTGTTGTCTGTGAGCCTGTCTGCACAAAGATTCATACACATAAACGTTGATGTTGGTTAATCAGGCAGGCTTACATAACAAATTTAGTGTTAACAAAAATATTTTAATTTAGTGTGTTTCAAGGGATCAAGATATGTACTAAAAGCCATGCCGGAGCCTTGACGGGCGAAAACAAAGATGAGCATTGAAATAAACTCAGCTAGAGCTGCCTTGAGAGCATCGGGTTGGCTAGCCTCCACCGGAGAACCTATCGCAATTCGAGAAATCGGCATTATTTCCCCGAGAAATGCTAAGCTATCAATGCTCGGAGATAGAAAACTAAAGAAGAAAATAAAAGCCACGTTGCTCTCTCTTGCTTTCTTTACCTTTCTTCAATGGTTCTTATACACAGGCGTCCAATGTAGCGACTATGAACCGGTTTAAAACCGGTAAATTAGAAGAGGGAGGGCCTCCAAATAGCTCCACTATGCCATGTGTACGGTTGATATGGAGTTGAAGGGAAATCTAACCGCGGAGGATTTTGATCACCGATGGAGAGCGACAGTGGTGGGAATGGGTCCCCCTCTTATGATTTAGTTTGACCGACCATCAGATTGTTTATAATAGCGCTGACGCGACGGTGGTGGTTAGCTTTGCTGAAAGCATTAAGTCGTTATCACGCACTAATCAAGAACTAATCGAATGGGATTAGATGAGATTAATAAAAAAAATGGAGCTGAATTAGTCGTTAGAACTAATTGAAAATGAAGTGGGTAATGTATTGGGGGGAGGTGGACTTGAGGAATTCTCAATTGGAATAAATAAGCATTTGTTGTTATCAAACCAATATTTTTTTATAATTCTAAATCGCACGATAGAATGTTTAATAATTGGGATTATCGCCAGCTTCCAATAATATTATTTAATTACTTGCAAATTTCTTTAAACTAATGGACGGCCACATCTCTATCAAAAACCTTGTCTTTGAAGCTCAAAGCTTTGTTGGCCGAATCAGGTAAAGGACAAGACTCTTCAATAAAATTTTGATAAAGAAGCTACAGTAACAAAAAGGCAAAATACTTGAAGCTAACAACAGAAGATTCAATGGCAAGATCCCAACTTTAATAGGCAAAAGTACATCTTCCTCCTCAAAGTCTCAAAACAGTGTAGTAAGCAACTAGCTTTAGATGATACCAATTTGTTTGCCACATCCAATGCGTCGTAGTCTGGTGTCAACCTAACATAAGCCTTCTTCGTACCATCAGGCCTGAATCACAACATCGATTAGCAACAATCCACAGACCATTATAAGTTGTTCAAATTTAGGTTTTTAATAAGTTGTACAGCGGTTAATAACATTACCTGATCAAGGTGTTCACTTTCTTGGCCTGAATGTCATACATCTTCTTGACAGCATCCTTTATCTTCTTGTCTGCGCGAATGTCGACAATGAAGACCAAAGTGTTGTTATCTTCAATCTTCTTCATAGCTGACTCGGTTGTGAGGGGGAACTTGAGAATCTGATAATGATCAAGTTTGTTCCTTGGGGAGCACTAATGCGTGGGTACTTGGGGTTCCTATCCTTCTTCAACGTCCTTGGCCTGTGGAATGTAACCTTTGTTCGGATCTTCTCTGTCTTCTTCTTAAATGTGGTTCCAGATTTCACCGCCTTTGCAGCCTTCAAGGCCTGTGCCTTCGGATTTACCTTCTTCTCAACTGCATAATACCAGGTAATAAGAGTAGATCCCCAGTTAACAGTAGCAGCAAAGTTTGGCCAACAAGACAATATCAACAGCCTCTAAAAATAAAGTGAAATTTTAATCTCATTTCAGCTCTTCATAAACCAAATAATAGAGTAGAAAACCCAGATTCTCATTGCACATAACAAAAGCAACAAGTGAAAGCAAAGTTGTTCGAAATTTGTAAAAACTAAATTCAAATACCTTTGGGAACCATTGGTTTCTGCCGCTGCCTCAAATCCTTCTAAACCCTAAACCGAATTACACAAGAAACCATTTAAAATTTTGGAACATGAAGAAAGTAAGATGCGGAGAAGCCGTTAGGGTTTGCGGGGAAATTAGGGTTTAAAATTAATATATTAAATGGGCTTCAAATAACAGCCCCAAATCACAAAATCTAAGCCCTCAAAGGCCATTTTTGACCCTGACCCAGAAAACCAAAAAGAATGGAACAGGCGACGGCCGAGATATATTCTCACGCGCTCACTCGCCTCCATTAAGGTCCATTTCATTGATGCTGACGTGGCGAACCTTTACCCTTCTATCCTCTCTCCTTTGATTCCCCAAAAAAGCCGCCTAGCTTTTTCTTACGCTATGAGGCTGAAAGAGAGAGAAAAAGAGAGACGGCAGCTGAAACTCTCGGTGGCTTAAAACGACACTGAATACGATCTGCCCAAAGCTTTAAACGGCAACTCTTATGCATCTCAGTTCATCTCTCCACTTCTTCCTCTGCTTTTAAAACCCTCACCTTCCCTTCCTTACTCTACTTGTCCCCGGGGAAAAGTCTTTGCTTTGATTGCCTCCCTACATTTCTAGGCGATTATCTTTTCTTTTTCTTTTTTCAATTTTTTGGAAAAATAGAAATTTTATAAATTGAATTGCTTTGACTTACTTCCGAATGGCTGGACCTTTGCCGACGACGAATGGGGCGAAGGAAAACAACTTATGGAAAGGAGTTTTCGCTGTTAGTGGAATCATGATTACTCTTGTAATCTATGGAGTTTTACAGGTTCGTCTTTTCCTTTAAAAAAATTGTGTTTTTCTTTATTTGCAGTTTTTATCTTTGTATTCTTTTTTAATCGCATCGCTTGTACCTCGAAAGAACTTCAAAAGCATGAACAGTTGGGTCTCCCTCTATCTTGTAAATGTTTCTTCACAATGTAAACTGTTTATAAAAAGAAAGTCTAGATTTTAATGTCTTTGTCTTGAGCTTCTAACATGATTGGTTATAATACAATATACAAGCCCAATACATTTTTTTACTACTATTTTGCAAGTTCTTCTGGGAGGATCTTGTTGTCCTTTTGCTTTGAAACTTGAAATTTGAAAAATAAAGAACTAATTTTAGCTATAACGATGGGTAGCTGTAGCAGAACAATACTTGTGTATTTCATCCAAAAATATGTTAAATATCCTATTTTGATGAGCAAGTCCATGTTAGAATTGAAGTTTTGAGTATAATCCAGCTGCAATCAGGTTGAACTAACAATAAGAATGTAGATAATGGCAGTTATGCCGTTGATGTCTCAACTTCGTTAATTATCAAGAGATATGATTATTCTGTATTAGCAGCACGATCTTCCTCCAAAGGAGAATTATGTAGATACCTTTTAATATCCGCTCTTCACTCTTGTTTGAAGGTGCAAGTGTTCTTTTGTATAATTGATAAAAAATGGTTTAGTTGCAAGCGTTCTTTTGTTTTGAGTTGTTGATGGAAGTTTACTTTCATGCAGGAAAAGATTATGAGAGTCCCATATGGGGTGAACAAGGAATATTTTAAGTACTCATTGTTTCTCGTTTTCTGCAACCGCCTAACAACATCTGCTGTTTCTGCTGGTTTTTTACTGGTATGCAACCATTACTGGCAAGTTGCTGCGACTGTATGTAATATTTTTGTGTGTTTTTATTTATTTTCCATTTGGCCTTATGATCTTATGAGATGAACCATCTATCATAAAAGATGGCAAGGTTGACCTCCTTACTTTTCACCATTTTCGTTTGCTTCTGCTTTTTTTTTTCCTTCTGTAGGCAAGTAAGAAAGCCTTGGATCCTGTTGCTCCAGTCTATAAGTACTGCCTCATATCAGTATCAAACATCCTAACCACAACATGTCAGTATGAGGTGAAGCTGTTTCTTATATCAACTTATAATGCAATTATGTTACTCTTATATGTGTATTTGAACATAAATATTCTGAATAAGTTCCCTTTATGCAGTTATGGTATAATAATTTTAATGAAAACGTTTCTATGGTCCAGGCCCTAAAGTATGTCAGTTTTCCTGTTCAGACTCTGGCTAAGTGCGCGAAAATGATACCTGTAATGGTATGTTAGTTTTGCATTACTAATTAAAGAGGCTTATGAATTCTATGTATCCAAATGGGTTTGGGATCTTAATTTCATCCAATGGATGCTTAATGCTAGTCCCCCATTATTCCTTGTCAATGCCTCAATGGTTTTAAGCTGCAAAAATTTCTGACAACATTGTCTTTTTTCATACAGATTTGGGGAACTTTCATTATGCAAAAGACGTATAGGGGATTTGACTATTTGGTAGCATTTCTGGTGACAGTAGGTTGTTCAATATTTATACTATTTCCGGTAAAAGTTCTGTTCTTTGGCATCATCGTTCATTGTTTACCTTCTGGTTGTTTATAGCTCTCATGTATTTATTTCCATGTGCATGATTTAATATAGTTTATATAGAGCTTGATTGTGGGATGGAAGCGGCTAATTTAGGTTGTATAACATTGAGTGGCATTGAACCACATATTATGCATAGACATTTGTTTAACTTGCTCAATCTGATGGTCTCTGCTATACATGAAGCCTTGTTATAGATTAAGGATTTGTGTATTTCTTTTTTTCTGTTTCTGATTAGCTGCTTTAGATTGTGCTATGACTTTATTATACGTATACTGATTCAGATCTCACTATAGGCAGGAACTGACATTAGTCCTTACAGCAAAGGAAGAGAAAATACAGCTTGGGGTGTTTCTCTGATGGTTTGTTATCTTGGGTATCAATCTGAAACTTATTTCCCCTCACCATAAAAGATATTTGTTGATCCTTTCTGTAATAGGATCTTCAAACTACAAAGTGATATATGTACCATTGATAGGTCTAAATTCTTGATTGCTGATTTATTAGTGGCATATTTTCGCATCGATTACACTTAAATTAGTGAAAAACTACTCTCATATGTAGGCTTGTTTAGGCTGAAATATTTCTATAGTCTCAAGTCATTTTGAGTTTTAAATGCTCATTTCTACGTTTAACAGGTTTGATGGTTTTACAAGCACATTCCAAGATAAATTATTCAAAGGATACGATATGGAAATACACAATCAAATATTCTATACAACATTGTGTTCTTGTATTCTCAGTTTGATAGGTAAAAGTTCCTTCAACGTACTGTTAGGAATATCTTCTGTTTTACCTTTAAGATTTCTTTGTGTTGCATTCCACTGATTGATTACTGGTTGTGATTTTTCTTTTCTGTACCGTCTAGGTCTTATATTACAGGGACATTTACTTTCAGCTATAGATTTTGTTTGTCGCCACACTGATTGTTTTCTTGATATTGTATTACTTTCTACTGTAAGTGTTCTTTCCTTTCCTGTTTTAGTCTTATTAGGCCCTAACTGAGTTTGTGCTATTTCTTTTATTGTCCCCGGCTTATAGAGAAGACATAATTTGGAATCCTAAGTTTAAAAGAGATTTTCTTTTATAGGTAGCTACAATTAGTCAATTCTTCATTTCTTACACGATTCGAACATTTGGCGCCCTCACATTTGCTGCCATAATGACCACAAGACAGGTATAGTTGAAGTTTCTACAATAAATTTTGAGTGTCTCATTTTCTCCTAATGATATATTTCGGATTAATGGTGATTCCTCTTACACTGTTGTTTAAGCTTGTGAGCATCATGCTGTCATGCGTGTGGTTTGGCCATCCCCTTAGTTGGGAACAATGTATCGGGGCGGTAAGTCTCTACTACGTTTTTTCTAACATTGTTGTCGATTTTCAAAAGCCTGATTATACTGATGCCTTTATCAGGTCGTTGTGTTTGGCTCCTTGTATACTAAAAACGTCCTGAAAAAATTATCAATGAATCCCCCTGCTCCACAGCAAGAACAAACACAGAACGGAGCTTCTAGTCCCATCAAGGGATCCCTTAATATCTTCTGATCAATTTTTCGCACCAGTTGCTGCATCTAATTCTGTTCAAGTAAAAATTTGCTGATGTTAAAGCTGCATTCCGAATCATACCGCCAAGACTCATGTCCGAACGATCTCATGAAATCCAAGCTGCAGATGCATTTTAGCGAAGGGATACGAGTTATGAAACTACACTTGAAGTAAAGCTCAAAGATGTTCTTTGTTTTGTTTACAAAAGGAATTAGATGCATATGCAACTGCTGAGGCATATTACTGTAGGCCCTCTTTTTTAATGAACATAGTAAAAGAGGGGGAAAAAGTTATTGAAAAAGTTGATTTGTTCATGTTACCTTTCGTTGAATTCTCATGCTTTGCATTATGCTCAGTTTGAACACAGGGAGAGGGAAGAAAAGGCAAAAAGAAAAACAACTTTTTTTAGTGCACAAATTCCATACAATTCAAGAAACAACTTTCCGCAAATTAAAATTTGAAGTTGAATCCAGTTAGTTTGTCCTGTTAAAAATGTTATAATACCAAGGGAATTGGAGTTGTATGATTTAAAACTCGTTAAAAGAAAAACTACAAACCGTAGTTTGGGTCATAGGAATCACACATCATTAAATTATGATAATTTAAATAATTTGGCCTCAAATTAGTCAAAAGTGACTGGTTTAGTGCCAAGAACTCTTCGTTGTGGCCGTAGAAACCTGGGCTCGAATCCCGTCAGTCACATTGTTTCCCTTTTTTCCCCCCGTCTTCCTCGGCTTATTTTTCATGAATCAGAAACTCCGACTCTCTTCATGTCCATCTCCAGTTAGGACAAATACATGGCGCGGATGTACTTCCGCGTTTTGTCCGTTTATTTTTCTTTGATAATAATAATAACTTTGATTTCTTCCATTTTTGGTCTGTCTAATTATTTCATTTTTAATGTGAACTCTCTTCAGGTGAAGTTTTCCTAATTCATGAATCATGATCATATGTGAACCAAATGGTTCTCCCGAGAGATTAAGAATTCAAGGAAATTTTTATTTATTCGATTATTAATGTTTTTTATCATATAACTGTAAATATTATAAAATAATAACTCGCCTTTTTCTTTTTCATTTTCTTTTCTTGATAAAGTAGGAGAGGACGACCTCCTTGTTCACCGGTGCTTCTCTGGCCTACGTTCACGGCAATTCGCGTACCAATAACTTCCCAGAAAAGAACCCATTAACCTATGCTGGCTAAAAGACCTGACTTATATTCATTTTTAATAATAACTTTTGTTAAATAATGACGGTAATAAAAATATGAAGTCG